ACCTCCAAGACGGGGAAACACGGTCATGGTCATGTTGATTGGGGAATGTGAAATTCTCATGTGAATAGAATCCACATTCTCCTGTTTAGTAGGTCGGGAATGTTATTCTTGGTAATCTTACATTATTAATACTGGATTTTTTTGGGTATATTACCGGGAATGTCATTACCTCCCTTTTCTTAGGTATTGTTGGATTACCGACGTTTTGAACTAAAATGCTCTTAATTTTTTTTTCAAAAATATCATTATTTTGTCACTGAATATAAAAATTCTACGAATGTTAAATTGCAAATTTATCCTTAAACTATTTTAGATTTACAAAAAAATCTATAATTAAAATTTTATATGAAGTTCAGGGTTAAAATAAAATTTTATATAAAGTTCAGGGGTTAAAATAAAATTTTACTCTTTCATTAAACCTTTTTATATTTTCAATTTTGTAAAAAAAATTATATAAATTTTATAAATTTAAATTTTTTAAAGAAAATATATAGATATTTTTCAACTTGTTAAAAAAATAAATATATAATAAGGACAATTTGGTCAAATATACATTTCAATAATCTTTTATTTCTTTAACCAAACACGGTAATCTTACATTCCTACTAAACCAACCAAACACAAAATACAATATTCCATTAATCCTATTCTCTGGTAATCTTTTATTCCCACTGGTAATTTTATATTCTACTGGTAATCTTACATTCCCACTCTAAGTGTCACTTTGTCGGAATCGACATCTTTAATGCCAAGAAGCTGGAAGATATTGTTACCTCCTCCCACAATTGTGACGTATGGAATATGAACATTTTTTATTCTCTGTTGTGTGATTGCTTTGGTGTTATCGAATGTTTTTATTTCTGTTTCTACAGGTTCCACATGTGAATCGAACTGACTACCAGTTGATCGATATTTTGAGGATGGATTTGTAAGTTGTTTTGCTTTCCTTTGCTTCTGCTTGATGTTGGTTTATGTGCATGTGTGTTCTTAATTAGTTACATTAACTTCTTTTCAGGTGAGTTTGCTGACTGATAGTGGAGACAATAAGGATGATCTGAGGCTCCCAACTGATGAGAGCTTGTTGAAACAGGTCAATTAACTGTTTTTCCCCTTGTGTTTTTTGATAAATGGCTTCCTTTCTGTTGAGATGTGCCTTTTGTTGTTTAATTTACTGATATTTGAGTTTCAAGTTCGAATACTTTATATCAAATTGTGCCAGTGCAGTATGATTGGACCTCCTTTGGCCACATTGCCCTTGTGTCAAGGGGATCCACTGGCACCACAAGTCAGCCCCTTTTTCTTTAAAGAAGAAAGCAAGCATAACTTAAGCCTGAGAGAGTTTAATGTTTCGTTTTTGTTTTGCGTTTTTGTCCTCTCGATGTGAGCATCCCGACTGAATCACATATTCTCGTGGGGGAATATAGTTTTAACATGTTTAAACATACTTCATTTGTATTTCTCACTTTCAGTGTGCTGAAACCGAGGATGATACTTATATTTTGGCAAACTACAGATCAAGGAAGGGTTTGCGAGGGGAAAGACCTGGTGGTGTCTGTTATGTCGGCAATGGGGGAGGAGCAGATCTGTGTCTCAAGGACATTGGTCCGAAATAATTTGAGATCGATTCTCTCTGTTATCCCAATCTTAAATGAGATTATTTTTACAAGAGCTTGAATTGCTTTGCATTTTCAAGACCTGGGTAGGTATAACTATAGTGCTGTCTTTTCTTTGGTTTGGTTTGGATACTAAAAGAAGAAGAAAAACACCATTACTAGTTTCCTGTTGTACTTAGATGGCTGGTCTCTATTAACTGCACCTTGCTACCATGCATTCTACTTAAAATACACTGTGAGAATGGAACCAAATTTGTCTTTTGACATCATAATTCGTATATTCGTGTCGTGTTTGAATTATTTAATATATAATTCGTGCTGAATATGAGATTGTTTGCAATGAGGCAATGGAGGAAATGAAGAGTTTGCTCGGTATTTGAATGCGTTGGGGAGGGAAAGCCTCCTCTTTTTAATATCATGATTTAAAAATGTAATGTTAAACTTGAGTATTAAATGTGCAAGTGACTAAAATGAAATCAAAACAAAAAAGTTGAGTGATGAAAATGGAACAAAAATAATAATTAGAGTATTAAATATGTAGTTTACGCTTTTATTAATTTAATTTTGATTTAAAATAATTTAATAAATTTAACATTTTATATTTAAAATTTTTAACTGATTAGTTTTATGATAATGTCAAGCTAAATATAAAATAATAGAAATTTTAAATATAAAATATTAAGTTTATTAAATTAAGAAGAATCGATAGAATATATAAGTTTTAGAAACTAAATTTATTATTATATCATTATTTTATATAAAATATATAAATGGTCTTTCGATTATATGATGTTATTTTATTGAGACTTTTGACTATTTAAAGTTATAAAATAGTCTCTCGATTATTAAATATTACTTTGTTGAATCTTCTAAATATTAAAAATTATAAAATAATCATTTAATTATTCATATATTTTAAAATCGTTATTTTCTACATATTGCAAGAAAATGAGTACAGTGTAAATGAGTGGCATGTGTCGCAGCAACAAGACTACTTTCCTGATGCTTGCCAGTGGGATTGTAAAACTGGAAAATTTAACAGAGTGATGTACGAAGCTCTATCCATCCACTTATAGTAGAATTCAATTCTTTATGCTGTAACATTAGTCTTTTCCTTGAGGGTTTTCAAAGTAACCAATCAAAATTAGGAGATGGGTTTTGTTAAGTGTAATTGTAATATACAAACACCATAAATACCTGCCTATTTGTATGTCTTGTCATTTGAAACTGCATTTATTGTTGATGTGCCCAGAGAAAGAGAAGCCAGAAGATGTGCATGCCAAATTTGAAGAAATGCAGTCATCCGATATCGATTTGAGAATCATGGGTAACTCTTAATCATGCATTTTTTTTTGGATAATTAAAATTTTATTACCCAAATGAACAGAGTTCTGTTACAAAACAATCATCAAAGGAAAATCAACAAAAATCATGAACAACCTATTACAAAACAGATTATAGGTTATTCAAGACTCCAATTCTTACAAAGAGTGATATTAATTCTATCTAGTCTATTAATGTTCCGGCCTCGTAGTTGAATGCCAACCATCTCCTTGATAGCTTTAAGAATTTCAACTACAGTTCTAGAGTTTCCTTTGAACAATCTTCTGTTTCGTTCCTCCCAAAGAGAATAGAGGAATGCACACCATGCAAGTTTCAATATAGTGGTAAGAAGGGATTTACCTTTCCAAGTAAGGGAAGCCGATGCTAAAAAGTTGTTCCAGGACAGTGCTGTTGACCTTAATCCGGAGAGGTGCAGAATGGCCTTCCAGAGGGTGTCCGCCATTGAACATTGAAGGAACAGGTGGTCTCTTGTCTCCCGATCTTCGTTGCATAGAACACATAAGCCATCGGTTATAATGCCCATTTGTTGAAGCCTATTCCGAGTGGGAAGTCTGTCCAAGATAGCCATCCAAGCAATCATGCTGTGTTTTGGAATGTGTAGAGGAAACCAGATTATGTTATGCCAGTTGACTTTGTCTCCCTTAACTCTAATCTCGTCCCAGATGGCACGAGTCGTCGTTGCGCTTGTAGAAAAAACAGTTTGTGCTTCTCTTTTAAGATTTAGAAGTTTTCTGAAGCACCAACTAGCATTAGTACCACCTTCTGAATGCCAGAAGTCTTTATTTTTTAACACATAGGATTTCACCCAAGCAACCCAAAGTGATCCCTCTCCTGCTAGGATGTTTCTAATGAGCTGGATCATGCACGCTTTGTTCCATGCTTTTAGATCTTTTAAGCCAAGGCCTCCTTCAGATTTCGGATGGCATATCAATTTCCAGCTTACTCTAGCTCCAGTAGCAGCCGTGTCAGAACCTTTCCAGAGAAAGCGAGAACAAAGTTGTTGAATTCTGTTTATAATTGACTGTGGTAAAAGAAACTGCCTGCACCAGTAGTTAGCAACACTAAATATGACAGCTCTGATAAGTTCAAGTCTACCTGCATAAGACAAGTGTCTTCCAGTCCAGTGATGGAGCTTGGATTTGATTTTTTCAATGAGAACTACACAGTCTTTTTTAGAGAGTTTTCTCGTAACTAGAGGCACCCCTAAGTATCTTACAGGCAAGCATCCATGTGTGAAGCCCGTGATTCTGTGTATGGTCTCTATGTTATTGATAAGGATACCAGCAGCATAAAATTCACATTTGGCCGCATTGAGATGTAGTCCAGACATTTCATATAATTTATCTAGGACACTGATGACTCCTATAACAGATTCCACATTTCCTTTACAAAAGATAAGGAGATCATCCGCAAACATTAAGTGAGTGAGACCAATCTTTTTGCATTTAGGGTGGTAGCCGAAAATACCTCGTGCCGCAGCTAAATTAAGAATTCTGGAGAGTACATTCATTGAGAGGGCAAATAAGAATGGAGAAAGGGGGTCACCCTGCCTTATACCCCTAGCACCCTTGAAGTAGCCGATCAGACTGCCATTGAAAGAGATGGAGTATTTTGCTTGCGTGTAACAAGCCTCAATCCAAGAGATGAAAGTCCTTGGAAGTTCCAGAGCCTTTAGGATTGCAGAAATGAGACCCCAATGGAGAGAGTCGAAAGCCTTTCGTAGATCAATCTTCATACAACATCTTGGGGAGATAGATTTCCGTCCGTAGCCTTTAACTATTTCTTGTGCGAGGAGAGTGTTGTCAACAATGCTTCTTCCTTTTACGAAAGCAGACTGATTCAAAGTTATCATTTCTGGGAGCAGATTGGTCAACCTGTTGACTAAAATCTTGGTAATTGTCTTGTAGACAACAGAGCAGCATGAAATTGGTCGGAAGTCTTGAATTTTACTTGGATTTGGTACTTTGGGTACCAATGCAATTGTAGTAGCATTAAATGCTGGCAGCAACAAAGTTTCTTGAAAGAAGTATCGAATCGCATTCACTACATCGTCTCCAACCACATTCCAGCATTTTTAAAAAAATAAGGAGTATAACCATCTGGGCCAGGAGCCTTATCATTACCTTGATTGAAGATTGCTGCTTTAATCTCCTCGGTAGAAACTCCCTTGACTAAATCCGATGAAGCTCCAATAGGTAATGTGTAGTGCAGCAGATCTTTGAGAAGAGTAGGGTCGCAATTGGTTACAGAGGGATCTGCAGTGCCAATAAGGCTCTTGAAGTAGTTAATCACTTCAGTGGCCATATTATCAAAGGATTCAAGCCTTCTTCCTTGATCATCAACAATCACTCTGATTGTATCCCGTTTGTTTTTAGCTGCGATGATGGAGTGGAAAAATTTAGTGCATCTGTCTCCCTCCTTTAACCATTGGGCTTTACCCTTTTGTTTTAAGAACATAAGCTCGGCTTCTTCGAGAGATTTTAATTCTTTTTGTAGAGTAAGCTCCTTCTCGAGTGTGTCGTCTCCTCTTAAAGTTGATAATTGCTGCATTTCCAACTCTATTTTCTTTTGCTGGAATCGGTTTGAGATGTCACTGTAGCAGTCTTTATTAAGTCTCTTTAGGCTGCCTTTGAGTCGTTTTAGTTTAGAGAAAAGGACTTGCATAGGGTTACCTTGAATTGTTGGTTGCCAAGACTGATGTACTTCATGTATGAAGCTAGGATGAAGAGCCCAGAAATTGAAGAATTTGAATGGTTTGGGTCTGTTTGCTTCTACCTCTTTGTTGAGCAAAACTAAAGCCATACAATGGTCTGAACGGCCTGGAGCAAGGAATTCAACAAATGAGTTTTGAAATTCATTCGCCCACAACGAATTGATGAGTACCCTATCAAGCTTCCTTGCAAGGAAGGATTCTTGTTATTTATTACTCCATGTAAACAATGGACCAAAGAAAGGATGGTCTTGTAAAGCAAGTTCCTGCGTGACTTCTTGGAAATCTTTCATTTCGGGAGATGAAACAGGGCCAAGTAACTCATGAGCAGAGGTTTCATTGGACTTCAAAATGATGTTGAAGTCCCCTCCTACTATCCAAGGGAGATGGCCATACTTGATATCAATTTCACGCAGTTGATGCCATAGAAGTCTACGTGAAATACCATCGTTGCTGCCATAAGCTGCTGTAATAATCAGGGTGGCACCTTGGAAGGAACCTTTAACAGTAATGCTTTGAGAAGAAACATCGCATAATGAGAAGTCCAAGTCTTTTTTCAACAGAATCCAAATCCTCCCATTTTGTGCATATTCATAATTTGTGTATACATTCCACTTTGCAAATTTAGTTTCCAGTAAACCCACTGATTTTTCCTTTTTTACGCGGGTCTCCAACAAACATAATACGTCAACTTTATTGTGGTGGGCTCTTTGTAGCACTTTGTCTTGTTTTAGAGGGTTGTTCAAACCTCTAACATTCCAAAAGCTGATCTTAATAGAATGAAGTGATTACAAGGTGACATAACCTTAAATGCACTTTAAACAACCTAACTTATTCCTCAACAACTTTGGGCTTATCTTTGCTATCGAAGGATACTCTTTTAGCTACTAAAAATCTTGAAATTCATATGGGATATGTGATATTCATGAACGATTCTTCTTCAAGTTAAAAAATTGAGATCATTGATTTGGTATGATTCTAACTACCGTGGGGAAAGCTACTGTGCGGTGGCCAATGGGAAACGACTCATTTCCGTACGAAAGTGGACAACGATTGTTTGTTTAAAATCATCATTTCATATCTTAAGACATACATTCCAAGTGAACTTGGATGTCTGTTGTCGTACAAACATAAAATCAGCAACTTCCATTCATATTTCTAACCCAATTATATTGGTTTTCCTACAGTTTTCATATAAACCCAGGAATTTCGAATTCTCTGATCTCATTTATTAATATATTAACATTTATCTAAATACATAAAAAGTTTAAATAATTGAAATTTAGTTCATTTACTTATAAAAAAAATTAGGGTAAATTACACAAATGATCCCCCGACTATATGATACTATTTTGTCGAGTCATCCGGCTATTAAAGTTACAAAATGATCCATCGACTATATGATACTACTTGTCGAGTCATCCGGTATTAAAGTTACAATGGTCATCCGACTCTTCATTATGTTTCAAACTCATCATTTTTTGTTAAAAAATTAATGACAATCTGAGCTGGAGGTTAATTTGTTGACTGAGATATGACCCCGACTATAGGGAATTATTTTTTTGAGTCTCTCAACTATTAAAAGTTACAATATGGTCACCGACTATTCATTATGTTTCAAACTCGTCATTTTCCGTTAAAAAATTAACGAGGGTTGTATAAGCTGAACATTAACACGCTGACTGAAATATGATAATCGTTTAAGATTATGAGATCATGTTTTATCATATCTCAGTCAACAAGTTAACGTCCAGCTCAGACCGTAGTTATTTTTTAACGAAAAAGGATGAGTTTGGAACATAATGAATAGTCGGATGATATATTGTAACTTTTAATAGTCGATAGACTCAACAAAGCAACTCATATAGTATGGGGATCATTTTGTAACTTTAACAGTCGGATGACTCAACAAAGTAGTATCATATAGTCGGGGTCATATCTCAGTCAATACGTTAACGTCCAGCTCAGACTGTCATTAATTTTTTAACAAAACAAGATGAGCTTGAAAACATAATGAATAGTCGGATGACAATTGTAACTTTTAATAATCAAGAGACTCAATAAAACAACTCCTTATATCGGATACCATTTTGTAATTTTAATAGTTGAGACTCAACAAAACATTTTATACTCAGAATACTATTTGTGTACTTTATCCAAAAAATTATAGACGTGACATCGATCAAAATATATTTACTATGTATAAAACTTATCATCATATATGCTCAAACTTAGAATTTTAGAAAAAATAATATTTTTTACGACCCGAACCATTTGAACTAAAAAGTTTAAATAAAAATATGATAAAAAAATAAAAATGATACGAAAAATATGTGATTTTACATTTTAGTGTACGAAAATTTCAATTTTTTCAGTATTTGCTTTGGTTTTAGAACCCATACATAAAGTCATAAACAGTAATTTCCAAATTCCAATACAAAATATCAGGAAGAAAATTTAAAAAGAATTGAAGTATCTGAGAGAGAATTTGTTTAAAATGTTTTGAATTTATATGTGCAGTGAGTGTTTAATTGTTGCTGTTTTTTCTATGGCAGATCTTCAACATTCTCCAATTTCACATAACCATCATCCTCCTCCTCTGCAATTTCACTTTCCTGCTTCATCTTCATCAATCCACCTGTTCTGCAGCTGTCGAAGAACAAGCAACTCACTACAGTATCAAGAACAAGAATCATTGAGTACAAATAAGCAATCAAAACCCCTTCCAACGCCATCGGAAACCAAGCGGAATCACCACCTTCGTAAGCTGTCACCACACGATGGTGAAACATAGCTTCAATGGCCGCCAGGCTGAGATTCAAAGGCAAAGCCAATGATAAAGCAGTCGAACTTCTTCCTTTAATAACAACACAAGCTTTTAGAATCGATAAATATCCACCGGATTTGTCCATTCCCGATGAAACCAATGCCAAGTTTGAAATTACGAATGAATTCGCCAGAACCAGAGAGTAAAAAACAGCCCCAAAAGCAGAAATTAAAAGAATCCATTTAGGGGATGAGAATCCCAACCCATCAATCAAATTGAACCCAAAGAACAAAACAGAGAAAGCCGTTGCGTTCGCTGAGATGATTAACAAGAAATTGCAGATTTGGGTTCCGAGGAGAGGCCTGTAAAGCGAAAGAACCGATGAAAACAGAAAGGGTTTCTTCAAGGTTCTCCCATGGCGGAAACAGAGTTCGATAATGGAGGCTTTGGCAATGAGGAAGAAGGAGAATGTGAAAGGAAGTGCGAAAACGGAGAAACAGATGGTTTGGGAAAGTTTTAAACTGAGAATCGTGAAGAAATCTGAGGGATAAGGGAACCCAGAAGCTTGAAAAAGAGCATCGAGACGGCCATTGATTGATGGAAGCAAAGAAGAAGGTGGGACGAAGATTTGCGAAAGAAGAACTGAAACAGAGTAGGGGAAAACAAGAATTGCGGGTGTCAAAGTGAAGAAGTGGTAATTTTGAAGGAAAGTGAAGATTGATCTTCTCATAATGCTGGTTGATTTCTCCATTTGAGTTCTTGGGGTATCCTCCGTTGATGAGAGAATGGAAGAAGAAACAATGAAATATGCCATATGCAAACAATGCCCCTTATATTCAAGTTTTTCCTTGGAAATGAAAAGATTGGGCAACAACTGTAATTCTAATTTCCTATTTAAAATATTAAGAGTATAATTTTATGGATAAAATCCAATTTTATAGTATAAAAATTTAAAAAATTTACACATATTTAGTACTGTTAAGTAGAAATAGATAATGAGATTTACATAAGTAATTAAGAAGATATTCACTAAAAAAAAATAAAGAATTAATCGTAACTATTTATTTTCATTCATATGGTTCTAAATCTGTATAAAACTAAAAAAATTTATTTACGTAAATAAATCCTAATACTATCATAATAATATTTATATTTTTTACAGTTAAATTTAAATAATACATTAAATTATCTCAATTATATTTAGATCAATTCACATATTAATAAATCTTACTTATATCTAGGGATAGACATAGGACATGAATCCGACATGTTCTGATTCGATTCGATTCGATTGGATAAGGTATTTTTTTTTAAAAAAATCGAGTTCGGATTGGGTCAGGTTAGATTTTACGACGAATACCCAACACAACCCGACTCAACCCAACCTAAAAAATAATATAATTATACCTTATATATTTATGGATAATTACAATAATATCCCTCTTTATATTATTTATTTTCAATTAAGTCCCTATTTTATTGAATAGAATTAATAATTTTATATTGGAGTAGCGTTTTATCTCAAAGGTCGGGTGAAATTACCCTAAACTCGGTCTGGTCGAGTTTCAGGTGGAAGGTATAAATTTTTTAAGTTTGGACAGGTTCGCCGGAAACCCGAGCCATGCCTTTCCCTACCTATATCTATATCTTTACTGAATTAAACGAAAGACAAATTACTTGATATATGGATATATTTATATACATATATATATATATATATATATATATATATAAGCAACTATGAATTATACAACTCTTGAAAAATTATGAATGAATTGCATCATACATCTTCAAATTATGAGCCTCATTCTAAATTACTTTTTTTTTAAAAATATTTCATTTTCACTCTTATGATTTTCATTCTAAATTGATCTCCAAGCTTTTGAACATTCTAAATTCATTCTCAAACTATGACCCTCATTATAATTGGTTCTTAAACTTTTGAACATTTCAATAATGTTCCTAAAATTATTCAACAATTTGGGGATGAAAATAGAACATTAAAAAGTTTCGGTATCAGTATATAATGAACGTCATAGTTTGGGGGTGAATTTGGAATGTTTAAAAGTTCAAATATCAATTTAGAATGAGAATCAGAGTTTAAAGATGAAATTAAAACATTTGAAAGTTTAAACTAACTTAAAATAAAGGATATAATTTAAGAACATATAATGCAATTAACCTAAACTTATTTATAATTTTGCGGGGGGGGGGGGAACCAAGGTAAACACATTATGAAACAAGAAAATCTTTTTATGGATATATGGTTTGGTTTGGAGTTTGCTTGGTGAAGCAAAAGATGAGTTTGCTTAACTAAAATGAAGAATACAAAGTCATAATTAAAGGTATTAATGCAAGTCTACTTCCTATTTACACTAAGTTTAATGGTTCTTCAATCACAAGATATTCCATTCTTTTCATGTGCTCCCAATTTCCTCAATCAACCTTTAAATTCTTAATATTTCTTCCATTTTCATAATTAATATTAATATTAATTCTAATGAAATTAAGATAACGAAGGTTGAGATGGGTTAGGTCCCAAGCTCATGAGGTATTTGCTTGTTCGGTTGGTGCGCTGTCGTTTTGACCATCGGTTGGTTTGTTAGGGGACGATCCATATCCTCATCTTAATAACAATAAGGGTAAGTTACATATTTAGTCACCAAACTATCATTTGGTTTCGTTTGTCATTCAACTATTATTTTTTTTAAATCATACCTAATGATACATTAAGGTTCTGTTTTGATCACTCGACATTAATAAATTAACGGTGATGCTGATGGGCCATCATGAAAAGAAAATTAAAAAAATCATCATGTCAACGATTCTTTTTTTTTTATGATAGGTGACCAAAATGGAAGCAAAATTTAGCGTTAAGTATAATTTAAAAATAATAATAGTTGGGTGACTAAACTGAACTTAAATGATAGTTAGATGATTTAATATGTAATTTACCCTAACATTAATAATAAATGATTCCAAACTTAAAAAGAATAGTTGTTTAAGTGGGAAGGAATGCGTATAATAAAGCGGAACTATTAGTTGACTTCCTAACTAAAATAAATAAATCAACTATCGGTTATCAAGTCCATTCCTTAATCATTAAAAAAAATTATTTGTCGTGATCACCCCAATAATCAATGTGATGCTTCAAAGTTAGATTTATTCGTATCGATCAAATTTAGGGTGTCACAAAATTAATAGTAGATTTATCTATTTCATATAATATAATAGAGTAATTGTGTATCATTGAACTTAAAAAAATTTAATCATGGATTTTAATCATCGATACCTACTTAAACTTCGGGCTTTTAGAGATCATCATCACTTCGAATCACAAATTATTGAAACTCAAATCGATTTCAATTAACTTTTCAATCAAATCAATTTTTTACGCCCCTAAATGTAGTGAGGTTCCATATAAATTCATATGGGTCTCTCCATTCCATCTTATACAGGTAGTGTCGAGTTAGGGCATGGGTTGTCATGCTTACTTATACGAATAGAAGCAAAACGATGAATATAATAAATGTTTCGATTTTTCGATTTTTCAATTTTTCAAATACTTATATTAATTGTGTCCAATATTTATTCAGATGTTTATATTAAACATGTATTCATTTTTTTATTAATCTGATGTGAGTATAAAGTAATATTTATTCCTGATTCAATTTGATATTGAACATTTATACTCCTGGCACATGTATTAATTTTTTACCCCTACACTTAAGTTTGAGTAACATATCAACCTAATTGAAATGATATCAATAGTTTGAGAATTCAATTAAAATAAGTTATAAACCCTTCTATGTTACTCAAATTTAAGTGTAGGGGTAAAAAATGAATACATGTTTAATATAAATATCAATAGTTTAAATATTTTAAATTCGAGTCGAACGATATGAGATCAACATATTTAAAACATATATTATAAAAAGAATGTTGTTTTCTCTAGAGATTCTGAGTTTGAGCAATTACGTTTGCAGGATGTGCGTCATTGTCAATACTTTAAGAAAATTTTGATTAAATAGATACTACCTTGTAATCATCACCGACTATTAAAAAAACAACTATCAATTGCATGATAATTTGATTTTTTGTAATAAAAAATAAAATAATTTTATCAAATTTTAATGACACAATCTATTCTTTAACATGTTAGATTAAAATAAAACTTGTAATATGTAAATATTAATTGAGAATTTGATTCATGCATTTGAATAAGTTGTATGACAGATTTAAACCGACATTTACAGGTCAAACAAACAAGTAGTTAGATTGACGTACGAATTTGATTAAAACGATATTGACATTTAAAGGACTCATTTGAAATGCTTTGAAGTATGAAGACCAATATGAAGTCTACGCATAGTTTGGGGACAACTGGCGAAATTAACTCTTTTATCCCTTAAATTACTTATTATACTTTCAATCCCTCAACTAATAAACTCGAATTTTGAATCAGTTGGCAATGTAACTCTAAAACTGTCGAACCGTTATTCACACTTGTTGCGCTGCGGTTTTGCTGAAGCAATAACATACCGGAAGTGTTGGGTTTGGATTAATTTAGGGAATAAATCATATTTAATATAGATATTTCGTACGAATCAACGACTTTAACGATTAAGGGAATTATTGTTATTTCTTGAGATCTCGGATTTGAGTATTATATATGCAGGGTATGAATGTTTATTGTGAGAAAGTTGAGAGACTTTGAACAAATACTACATTGGATTCACCCCATATTTATAAAAAAAAATTATATTTCAGCACGAACCAAACAATCTTAATGATTAAGTGATTTGTTGTTATTTCTTAAGGTACCAAGTTCGAGCAGCGTATGCAAGGATATGAGCGTTCATTGTCAAATTATTGAGAGTCTTTGAACATATATTACCATGTATTCACCTCAAATTTATAAAAAAAAAACGATATTTCAATTTTCTATGTTTCGGTTTAGATTGAATTATTTAATTTTAGATATTATTTTTATGATATAAAATTATAGATTTAATATAAATTAAATAAAAACTTTTTATTTGAATGGTCTGAATAATTCATATTTGACTGGTCTGAATAATTCAAAAAATTTAATATGTAAATTAATAATCTGAATTTAATAAAAATAAATATTACAATCCAAATTCATTTCGTATATTTGTTTGAGCAGCACCTTCAACTATGCTCAAAAGTGAATAAAATATGAGATAAAATAGATTAAAAATCACTCAATTATATTAAAAATAATTTTTTGATTAATGGATTTTTTAAATATTATTAAAATTAAATTTTTTAAATAATTATAAAATAATTATTAATTTTATAAAATAATCATCAAAATAAAAGCTAATTGCATCACATGTCCTCCAAGTATTACTCTCATTTTAAATTGGTACCTAAACTTTTAAATATTTCAATTTCATCCCTAAACTATGACTATAATTCTAAATTAGTCCTCAAACTTTTTAACATTTCAATTTATTCCTCAAACTATGCCTTTATTCTAAATTGATCCCCAAAATTTTTAAACATTTCAATTTTTTCTCAAACTATACATATATACTAATCACGTCTCTCGTTAATAAAATCATTAGACCGAGTTATATTATTATATGTTTGAAAAAAATTAGGTTAAATTATGGTTGCAACTAATTACATATTAGGATGAATTTGATGATGGAATTGGAAGATTCAAAAGTCTGGGGACCAACTTAAAAGAAGGTCATAGTTTAGGGATGAAACTAGATTGTTTAAAAGTTTAAGGACTAATTTAGAATGAGAGTCACAGTGATGAAATTAAAATATTATAAAATTTAATGACTAATTTAAAATGACATTTATAGTTTAGAAACATATGATGTAATTAACTCTTAAAATTATCAAAAAAATGTTATTATTCATAATGTTGTAGACATGGATGAACTGGCGGAACTGGTCCATTAAAATTAAAATGATCATATATATATATATATATATATATATTATTTTATATTTTCTATTGAAAATCTTTTTTTTCTTTGAAAATTATACGAACGTCCCTAATCGTAGAGGAGTTATTTTGTAACAATAAAAATTAAACTATTTAGGTCGGGATTTGTTAATCTTGCACTACTTCTTGTTTAATTCACCGAAGATGAAACCTAAACCCAACTAAAACTAAACAACAGAACCAATCGAACTTAAAAACATTAAACCTTACACTTTTGCACGTCTCTTCCCAACGTGCTCCCAACAAACTAACGATTTTTCTTACGTACAAATTTGCACCCACTCCCCACCACCACCATCTACTAGCATGTCCAAACCACCCCCACCACCACCTTTGCCACCTCCGTGTTAGTGTTTTTCAGATTAACAATGGGAGGAGATCATCGTAGGAGGCCATCATTAATGCCTCTAAATAATTGTATCTCCTCCCTTTCTTTGCTCTTCATTTCCCTTTACCTTCTCACATCAAACCATGCTTATGCTGTTTCAGCCCCTTCTTCATCACCATCTGCTTCGTATGAGCCGTTTGATAATTATCTTATCGATTGTGGGTCTTCCATGGAAACAAAGCTGGATGATGGACGGGTGTTCATGTCGGATTCTGAATCCACCACTTACTTATCCACTAAACAAGATATCCTAGCGTCGGTTGATTCCATTCGCAGCAGTGTCTTCCCCGATCCCACCTTTTCTTCAATGGCGGATTTATACAAAACCGCGAGGGTTTTCAATGGTGTCTCAAAATATACGTTTTCCATCTCGAAACCAGGCAAACATTGGGTTCGTCTTTACTTTTACCCTCTTCATCACCCTCTCTACGATCTTAAAACCGCGGTTTTCACTGTCCATACCCAGAAGTTCGTCCTTTTACATGATTTCTCTGTAGGTGATGATTCTAAGGTGGCTTTCAAGGAGTATCTCGTTAACGCTACACAACATTTCTCCCTCGTTTTCGAGCCGAAAAAGGGTTCATGCGCGTTTGTTAACGCCATCGAGATCGCGGCTGTTCCCGATGAAGTTTTCTCTGATTCTGCACTGATGGTTCCGCAAGGTGGCACTGTGAATGGCTTGTGGAATTATGTTTTGGAAGTTTCGTATCGGTTGAATATGGGAGGACCAACGTTGAGTCCAAAAAACGATACATTGGCGAGGACATGGCTGCCTGATGAGCCATACAATGTGTTTCCACAAGGAGCTCAAGCTGTGAAAGTTTCTTATATCAGGCTTGATAAACGGATTACTCGGTTCATTGCTCCTGATTTAGTTTACGAAACCGCGAAAAGGATGACACCCGAGGCGTATGCTCAGACGATGGAGCCGAATTTCAATCTCACTTGGACAGTGAAAGTCGATGCAGGATACTCGTATCTCATAAGGATGCACTTTTGCGACATTGTAAGCAAGTCCCCCAATGACTTGTACTTCAATGTGTATATAAACAGCTTTATGGTGGTTTCGAGTCTCGATCTCACTGCAGCAGCTGGTGGCTTGGCCACTCCGTATTACATGGATTTCGTGCTCAATGCGTCGGTCATCACGAACAATTCTATCCTGGTTCAAGTCGGTCCATCCTCGAATGGTGGCCTACCTGATGCAATCCTCAATGGCTTGGAGATCATGAAGCTGAGCAACTTTGCTGGTAGTTTGGATGGTTTGTATGCTGTTGATGGTTCATACAAGGGGAAACCTATGAAACTCAAAGTGGTTGCAATTTCAGGGCTCTGTATGGCCTTCTTCGCCATGTTCTTCCTCGGAATTGTTTGTATCCGGTGGAGAAAACGGCCTTGCAATTGGCAAAAACAGAAGAGCTTCTCGTCGTGGCTTTTACCGGTCCATGGAGGCAGTTCGAATTTCTTGAGCATATCCCGGAAAACGAGCATGTTTGGCTCAAGGAAAAGTAAGAGTGGACACTCAAGTTTGTACTCTACTCAGGGTCTTGGCAGGTCCTTCACTTTAGCTGAGCTACGAACCGCGACACATAATTTTGATGAAAAGACGGTGGTTGGTGTCGGTGGGTTCGGGAAAGTGTTCCTTGGGACCCTAGAAGACGGAACCAAGGTCGCAATAAAACGAGGAAACCAGGGATCCGAACAAGGCATAGACGAATTCAATACCGAAATACAAATGCTTTCAAAGCTTAGGCATCGCCATCTCGTGTCACTTATAGGATTTTGTGACGAGGAATCGGAGATGATCCTGGTTTACGAGTACATGGCCAATGGTCCGTTCCGCGACCATCTCTATGGTTCGAATGACAAACCGACTCTGTCCTGGAAACAAAGGCTCGATATCTGCATTGGTGCAGCGCGAGGATTGCATTATCTCCACACCGGTGCAGCACAAGGGATCATCCACCGCGACGTAAAGACAACAAATATTCTTCTAGATGATAACTTTGTAGCCAAAGTATCTGATTTCGGGCTCTCAAAAGCTGCTGCAATGGAGCAAGGCTATGTCAGCACTGCAGTGAAGGGTAGCTTCGGGTACCTCGATCCAGAATACTTCAGAAGACAACAACTAACAGATAAATCAGACGTTTACTCGTTTGGTGTGGTGCTTTTCGAGGTTTTATCGGCAAGGCCAGTGATATGCCCCGGGCTTCCGAGGGACCAAGTTAGTTTAGCCGAATGGGCAATGCAGTGGCATAGAAAAGGGATGATTGAGAACATCGTGGACCCCAAGATTACAGGGAGTATCAATGAAGAATCATTGAAAAAGTTTGCAGAAGCTGCAGAGAAATGCTTGGCTGAATATGGAGCTGACAGGCCAAGCATGGGGGATGTGTTGTGGAACTTGGAATCTTCATTGCAACTTCAAGAAGCTTCTTCAAAGATTGATGAATCATTAGAAAGAAAACGAGGTATAGATCCCGACGCCATTGCCAACCTTCTTTCTGGAATTGATGATGATTCTGAGGTGAATGTTGCCTCTCACTTGAATTTTCCAAATGTGGGAAATATCCAAGCAAGGTAAATCATGGGGTTTCTTCTTCCTTTTTGTGCGCTCATTCACCTGTATTGCTTTGTAAAATGTTACAGCCTTGTTTCATGGTTAATGAAAAAAACACTGTACTGCTTATGTTTCTGTAATTTCATGAAAATTGTTAAATAATTAAGATAGAATTTTCGACTGTCTTACAGAGTTTACATATATTTACAAGTCTAGTCTACTATAAAGAAATTTCATGGCAACCAATGCTTTTCGTTTCATTGATAAAAGTACCATAGGGTTACATTCTTCGTTTCATTGAGTATCGTCTTCAGGAGAAGAATCCCTCGATACCTGCTTATAGTCTTCTTTCTCGTCATAGTAATCGACACAAGAAGGTTCGCCGTTAAGATCAACAGTTACACCATTTGGTTTCCTCACAAACTGTCCCCTCAAGCGCGGCCTCCTTTCGGCTAGCTTTTTTCTGTTTACGTATCGAATCTTCTTATCGAAACAGCGCTCTTTCCTTTTCTGCCGAAATTTGATTAATGCTGCCTCTCTTCTGTCAACCTTACTTGGTTTCACTTCACCGGGAGATGAATTTCCAACAGATGGCCATGAATGACCTGTCAGCATTGGACCAGGTTGCATGCACATGTTAACAGGGTAGTACGGAAACGATGCCATACCACTAACATGCGAATGGGAATGACAATGTTGAAGGTGATTATATTGAGGTACCACACCGGAACTAGCATGGTTTTGGAGTTCAAGGAGGTTGTTCTGAAACAACATGGCCGATGGCGGCATCATAACTTGATTCATAGCTCCCGACATATAGTATGAAAATGCACTTTGTGTTGGTAAACCAGATACATCATGTCGAGGTTTGTTTCTTGGCGGCACAAGTTCCTGAAGGAACTTGTCTTCCCCAAAATTCTTATGTTGTGAGAACTCCATCGACGCAGGAGCAGAAGACCTTTCTAACGAAAGTGAATCCGGTACACTACTGCTGCTTGGAAAGTCGTCGCCTTGAGAACAGTTTTCCCACGCTTCACCGTTCTCATGTACTTGGGTATCATTAACCACTTGTTGACCGTATTGCGGAAGATTCTCTTCAAGGATCTTAATTTGGGCAGCATTTTCGTCATTAGGGGTCGACGCTTGAGCGCTGCTTTTTACCGTTGGTGATTTTACGTAAGCAAAAAAGGCAGATGACTCGCCAATCTTTAGTTCACTCTTCTTTGGACCACATGCAAGTTGCCCTGCTCAAAATATCACCAACATTAGGACATGTACTGAATAAGAGAATCAGTTAATGCAAAAGTTCGGAAACCAGAAAAAGAATCACAGCCATGGTTTCTCGGTATTCCAGTGTTATCGCATGATAACTAATGCTTGCATTATAATGAATAATAGATGAAGAAAAGATAACTGATTTTGAAACATCGTCTGACTCGTTTAATAGTACAACAAAGCAATATCCCATGCAATAAAAAATGAAACATTATACTGAAGACTAATGTTTTCCAAAGAATCCGAAAATAGAAGGCAAAATTATATCACTCTATTCCTTAAAATATCCCATGCATTAATAGAAAATAATCTCAAATATGATATCCAATATTTTCTAGGCAAGGAACAGTATAAGAGCAGTCCACCTGTTCTCCGGTCACTTATTCCTGGAACACGAGGACGACATTCAACTGAATCATTCTGAGGAGGCTGCACAGTAGCAGCAGCGAACTGAAAGAAAAAAAAACACATATATGAACACAACCATAAATTTCACTCTTTACGCCATTGATTTTCCATATATTCATAAAACCAAGTAAAGATCATGAAATTACAGCATGCATCCACAGCTGCAGATTATTCTCATTCATAGACAACTTTCGTAACATGCCTAAAGTGCATATTTATAACCTATCCTATACAACATCACAATGGCTGCAAACTAACTGGATAATTGGTTCCGCAGATAACAGATTCCTGTTCAGGAGTCTATAAATACCTACTATAAAATCTCATCACAGGAAGCAACACAGATCAACTTCAACCATATAAACAGGAAGACAATAACAATAGATAAATACACTTAAATCGCATATATTATGACCAGGAGTCATTTCATAAAGTAAAAGTTAATGATCTCATTATCCACATTCGAACATGGTTTTCCCCTAATTTTAAATGTACACAAATACGTATTTGGTTATCTGAGTTCAATACTCACTTCGTCTTCCAGATGGATTGGAGCTCGCATCTCTGGATTGGTGGCCTTCCGGGACTTGTCCGCTGTGTCATCCGAGAACAAAGTAGTACTGTTTGTATTAGCATCACCAGGGTCTGATGCCACCAGATCAAAGTCATAGTTCAAGATGTTCCTTTCTGCCAGACCAAGCTGCCAGAGAAAGAAACAAACTTAATATCACAGGTAGTTCTCATTAAACATCCATTCATGCATACATATCAACTCTCAAAGGAATGTCGGTTAATGGGTTTCTCGGTTCTTTCTATCTAATTTTTTACCCTAATTATACTCTTACAAGTATAAACCGCAATGGAACTGTTTTTACAGTAGGGAGGAAATCAAAGACAGACAGAGGGGGGAAAACCCTACAAAAAGTACATCTGAAAGTAACCGATAAAAGGAAAACTGCTAAAAAAACAAACCTCACGCCGCCTTCTCCACATATGTGTCCACAAGTTCAACAATTCATTGGTTCGTAAAGGCTTGACAAGATAATCAGCAGCACCAAGCCTCAAACACTTAACAACAATAGAGACCTCATCCCGGGCCGACATCACTTATCATTGAAAGGAAAGAAAAATATAATAATCAGACCACAAACACCAAAAAGGAAAAATCGCAATAAAAAAAATCAGACAGCCAAAGAAAAGAAGGTTAAAGGAAAACTCACTAATAACAGGAATCCGACGCAGTTCCTTATTCCGCATAATATACTTCAACAACTTCATTCCTTTTGACATCGGGAGGTCAACTTCTGCGAGTATGATATCAATTTCAGCTCCCTCGGCATTCAGTGCATCAATAACTCGTCTAGCGGAGCTCACTGAAGTCACTGTGAATAAAATGTAACACAAAATCATGAAGCTGATATCTCTTCTAGAAGTATATGGAAAGAGTCATCGGTCATGAAACTATAGGACACTCTCCTAATTGGAACATATAATGATAGAAGTAATACAAAATGTTGAGTTCCTACAAAAAGTAGAAGCAGCCTAAATAAGTGGCACAATGAACATACTCTAAAATGTAATACAACTCTCAATTCAAAAGGTCAACCATCACTATGTTATACATATTGAAACACACATAAGCCCTGATGGTGGAGGTAAGGGAGGATCGCAGCATTTTAAGTCAGGGGTCAACTTATAAAATTCTAGGTGGTCGAAAATGAATTATCAATAGAAGATACAAAGAAAATATCTAAAATGTATGAAAATTTTAAATTTTCAGGGCGGCTTCGGTCCATCCCTGGCGGAGGGGAAAGTCTAAACAGCAAAGAGAATTGAAAAAGGATGATAACTAATTGAATTACATAGAATTCATAATATAACTCTCAGTAATAGAAGAATGAAAAAGAAAAATTAACAGAAAGAGAAGCATACCCTGGTAAGAACATCTCACAAGTAGTGAAAAAACTTCTTCACAACTCTTGGTATCATTATCACATAGCAAAATCCTCACTTTGCTCCTATCTGTAAACCCACCTCCTCCTACTCCTGCTTTACAATCTTTATTAAAATTCAGCTCTTTGGTCTCCATATTCCTCCCCCACACTCCAAAAAGCAAAGATAAAACCTTGCTTCTAAAAACTATCTTAAAAAATGCTCTCTTTTTTTATAAATCAAAAGGAGGATACTAAAGGAAGCCCATAAAAGTATTCATCTTTCCCAACAATCTAAACAAGATACAAAATTGGGATCAGGGTTTCTAACCATCCTGAACCTACTCTCCCCGTCCGTACACACCGCCTAATAAAGGACCGAGCTTGATTCTTCATCAAAGTTATCATGTCTTTTTCCATTTGGTTTAAAAAATGAATTAGACTTTCCATAAATGGCACAGAAATGCACAAGTGGACCCAATCGAGGATGTATGGTTGGATGAACCATGAACGGCCCAGATTTCAGCTCCACAAGGAACCCGTAAACAAAACGACCAAAGTGGAGATTACCTCATTCTGAATTCTGATAAGAGAAAATCGCCTCAGTAATCAAAAATGCCTTATAATATACGATTTTAACCAACTTTTTTTGGATTTGCCAAAATGACCAACAAAATCGCAACGCGAAATAAAAATCGCAACGCGATCCCCAGAATCGCAAATCAGTTTCCAAAATCGCAACGCGATTCTTGAAAATCGCAATGCGATAGTACAAATTCGCATTGCGATTTTACAGAATCGCAACGCGAATATGAAAATCGCAACGCGAACACATAAATCGCAACGCGTATCCGTAAATCGCAACGTGTATCCGTAAATCGCAACGCGTATCCGTAAATCGCAATGCGTATCCGTAAATCGCAACGAGAATCTGTAAATCGCAACGATAATCCGTAAATCGCAACGAGAATCTGTAAATCACAACACTGAAATTTTGGGTATATAACTACGCAACAGCAGCAAATCATAAACTAAATCCCTAAATCGCAACTCATTCCATCTCCATCTATCACTCTCTCCGGCGACATCCGTTCCTATATCCAACGACATCCTTCCCAATCCGGCAACAGGTTTTAGTTTCGCAGCTCGTCTGTTTAGTAAATTAATTTACAACCATGAAATCATCTAATGTTGATCATGTTTGGATAGATTTGTGTTTTGGAGGGTCATGGGATAATGTTCATGGTGTTTTACAATATATGCCTTTACCCATGAATCTTCAACTAAAATTGTCTTTACAAAAGTTAACTTATGAAACTCTAATGCTACGTGTTTCAAATAAATTGAATTTAGAGCCCCTAAGTGGATTTAGGCTATCTTATCAGAGAAATGGTAAAGTTTATTTGTTAACCGACAATGAAGATGTTGAACGATTCATTGCTTACATTAGTGTTTCACAAGATGATGTTACATTGTATGTTGTTGAACCTAGAAGTAGTATAGCGGGTAGTAATCAACTAAGTTTTTCTCAAAACCCACAACCTTTCTCTAATCCAAATCCCAATCAACTTTCAGCACCAAATTCCGGTTTTCGTATTGACCAGTTAGACGATGATGAGCCAACAGAAAAAATTGTGAGTACTAGTCAGTATTCGAAATTTGGTCTTGGTCAATATGTAACATCCTCAATACCGGGTTAGTGATCAAATTGTAAAGTTTCATAATTTGATGACTAAAATAGAAGAATGAAATAGCTCTATGATTATTAGATGCATATGATGAAGGTTATTTTGTAATTGTTAAAGGAAATAAAGGGTAAAATGGTCATTTGATCATTTAAGGAAATATACACGTGGGAAGAGAGCTATCTGGAAGCTTTTTCTTCTTGCTTCTCTTCTTCACGTGGGGCTAGCTTCAAAAGGTAAGTTCTTTGTTTGTAAATGAATTGTTGATTTTAAGGTTGGGTTTTGATTATTAGATGATAACTAAGCTTAAGGAAAGCTTAAATCATCTTAAAAACAAATGATGGAGAGGTTAAGAGAGATTAAAGATTTGGAGTTTTTATATGAAATTTTGGAAAGGAATTGATAAGTAGAATTTGAAGTTAAATTTGACTTGTCAATGGTTAAATTAAGAGATTTGGAGTGTTAGAATTGGAATTAGAACACATTGAAAATTGGTATGATTTTTGAATCTCATATGGAAGATAGGATTTTGAGGTTTAAGATGAAATAAATGAATATAGACTTGGTTTTAAGTATGTATACTAGAGTTAAGAATGAAAAGGGATGATATATGAAGGGTTTGAGTGGAAATGAAGTAATTTTCGGGTTGAAAATATGATTTCTGGGCAAGGGGAATCGGTACCCATTCAAGGGGAACCGATACCCCTTCAAACGACAGAATTCCAGAATGTCTCCCCCTAAAGAAAAATGTTAATATTGGTTTAATAAGTTCGTTTAAGTTGCTAGTATTCAATTACAAGGTGTAGGTATCTAATGATTACCTCGAAATGTACATTTATGTAGATTTACGCATAAAGAATTCCGGAACGTTTGGCAAGTAAGATCGATCAAGGGAAAGATAAGAGATGGAATTGACTAGTGAGGCCAGGTGAGTGCATATAATTAGTTTATGGTGCTAAATGGAAACAAGACTTGCGACAAGTCTATTTCCTCTGTTAGAATGTATGAATATATGATTACGTATATGAATGACATGAATTGTATGCATGCTATATGTGTTAACATGCTTTTGAATGTAATGTTATGAGAAGTATGTGCTTGTAATGTATATATATGAACATATGTGAAACTGAACTATGTGACTGCTGATAAAGATATGAGCCATATGACATGATATATGTGAACATGAGAAAACAAAGTTAAGATATGAACTATGTGATCCTATGAGGAATATGAAAAGAAGCTATGTGACTACAAGTATATGTTATGAGATAAGATCTATGTGATTGCATGCAAATATGATATTAGATATGTTTACACATACATGTAGTATGTGACAGAAAAGAAGGAACATGTGGTTATGAGATCAATGATTACACGTACATGTGATACGTGACTGAAAAGAAAAGATATGTGGTTATAAGAGAAAGAATATGAATAAGTAATGTGAACTGTTATAAATGAATGCCCATGTTATGTGATATGAGAGCTAGGGGTATAGTTGGCATGCCAAGGGTCGAGGGTACCTATGTTCTTCGGAACATATGGACTGTTTACCTATGTTCTTCGGAACATATGGACTGTTTACCTATGTTCTTCGGAATATATGGGACTGTTTACCTATGTCCTTCGGGACATATGGACTGATTACCTAGGTTCTTCGGAATCTATGGACTGGTCCTTCGGGACATTGATCGAGCTGTGGTGACAGCATATGTGTGCACAACTCAATGTACTCATACCTTAAGTTCTCACTAGTGTACATGGGCTAATAAAGTGATTAAACAAGCATACTGAATGTGATATGTATACGATGGGGTTATAAGTGGTTTGAAATGTGTTACGTGAACCATATGATGTTGTGTGTGTATAGTGTTTGATTGAAAAGGTTAACAATAAAAGTATGTGATTACATGATAAAATGTTAATGATGAATTATGTGTCTGTATGTATTTATGTAATTAATCTGATATGATTTATATGATACGAAGAATGCATGGAATTGCTATAACAGATAGAAAAGAACTGCATGTATCGATATATGTTTTAAAGTGCATTAAGTCGTTATGCCTCACTAAGTCTTCGACTTAGCGTGTGATTGTTTCACGCGTAGGTTTCGAGAAGAGTAAAGAGTAATGCGGAGCAAGACAGGTCAGTTTTCCTTACCAAATGTCAGAGAAATGTATGTACTGTTACAGAGTGTAGTGGCATGTAGTCTAAAGATATAAATGGTATGAACTCTGATATGTTGTAAACGCTTTGAAATAAATTAAATGTTATCAAAGTTTTAAATTACCCACTATTTTATACGAATGAATGTTTAAAAAGTCAATGTGACACTTCGGACTCGTATCCGGGTCGGATACGGGTTGGGGTGTTACATTTAATGGTATCAGAGCCAAGGTTTAGCCGATTCTCGGCATAACCGAAGTCCAAAGTGTCATAAAAGGTGTACATGCCAACATAGATTGAAAAATTTCTGATCTGATTGTGTAAGGATATGTTGTGTTGCTAATAGAATAAGAATAGTTTAATACAGTAGAAATCCGATCGTAATAATTTCAAAGTAAGTGAAAGGTGATATTCCTGATTGTGATAGCTATTCACTTGCCCTGGCCAGCAGGATGAAGAGCGTACACCTCAGGAAATGCCTAGTAAGATCAAAAGTTGATTTCAGAAAGCTGAAATCATATCTGAATAATGATAGAAAGTTTTCATCGTTTGAAATCGGAAAAACGATATAGAGTATTATGTGGATAAGATAGAATATGGTGAACGGGTGTCACCATAAGAATGTTAAAAGATCTAAGGACGTGATGAGTACGTATAGAAGAACTTAAGGATAGTGCATCAGTGACAAGGTATAAGATGTATAAGTCAGAGTATAAGTTCAAAGTGAAGGAATAACATTGTGTATAAGCAAGAGCGTTTATATGATAAGGGTTTGCAGTTAAGACGGAAAAGTTAGCGTTAGCTAACGAGAATGCGATGGGAATGTACTGGAATTATAAGATTATAAGATATTGTCAGGATATGAGAACCAAATCCGTAATGGATCTGGATACAGTTGCATATTTGGATCATAGTAATGTGGTATAGTAAAGGAAAAGGAAGTAAGAATTTGTATATTTAAGTAAAGCTGAGGATTGATAAGAAGAGTTTGAGAATATGTATATCGATGATCAGATTATAGGACACGGAGTCAGAATGTTGAGTTTGAGTAAAAGAAATTTCAGGACGTATGAGAATAGAAGTGAAATGATAAGTTGAGTAAGCGAATGTTAAGATAATTTAGATTGGAAAGAATGTATATGATTGGTATAAGAGGGCTTGTGCCCTAGACTGAACCAAAGTATTATCTAGCTGTCAGAGTAAAGGTGCTAGAGTTATAAGATTGGAGGAAAGATAAAGTGAGTTAATTGATTATGATATGAATTTGAATATAATTGATATTCTGAGCAGATAGCTATGATGTAGAACAGAGATAAGTATTTGCATGGAACCTTCAGGAAGGAAATACAAGTATAAGAAATGAAAGGGATTGATTTAAAAGAATCAGATACGATAAATGGAAG